TGGGCACAGACAGTGGCAATGGTGTTTAGGATCACTGCAACTATAAGTTACTTATAAGTAGGTTGATCTGGATGACTCATGACTACTGAGGAAAAGGCATATCAGTAATTCTGGTTCTGACAAAGCTCTAGCTAGTGTTTCTATAGAATGACTTAGATCACCCATTCTAATTCTATACTTTTACAGATGAAGAAACAAAGGCCTGCAAAGGCTAACAAAGTAATCCAGGTTCATATAATATCAAAGTATGAAGCTACACTAGGGCACTGGTCTAACATGACTAGGCCAGTGTTTGCTTGACTTGAATGCTATGCTCGCCAGAGCTACTCCCTCTAGAGATGCTGGCCAGGGAAATGGGTAAGAAATGCTATTTAAAAGTTCAAAACTTAGAGCAGAGATATAGCTCAGCAGCACAGTGCCTGCTTGGGAAGTATGAGGTCCTGAGTTTAATTTTGAGTACAAAAAAAAAAAAAAAAAAAGTTCAAAACTGAAATTGAAGGGCCGGCCAAACAGCTCAATGGGTTAAGTGCCTGCTTAGGCAGACGCAGCAGCCAGGGTTTGATCCCCGATGTGCCATGCCAGCTACGCCCCCTGGGTGCACCAAGATGGTGATTGAGACTGAGTGTGGTGGTGCGTGCCTGTAATCCTAGTGCTTGGGAGCCTGGACACAGGCAGATCTACAAGTCTGATCTATGCAGTGAGACCCTGTAGACCCTTACAAAAAAAAAAAAAAAAAAAACCTGAGTTTGGTACACTTTAGAACACAATTTCAGTATTTGTGGTAGATTATCTCCCAAATGGAACATAAATACCCCTACCTTTAACATTAGTAACTTGAGTCTAAGCGTTTTTCTTCTTTGTGGAGTGTCCTTATAAGTTGACTTTATGAATTCTATTTGTCATGCATCTTACTAAAATACTTGAAGTCTACTTTTAAACAACAATATTTGGCCCATACACATTAACATAGTATAAATTCTACTCTAAAAATACTTAATGGATGTATCAGAATGTGGTCAAGGACTGCAATGGCAAATCAATGAAAGTGATACCTTGCTTCACACACTCAATTCTCTCAATAGTCTCTTTTTCAGCTTTTTCTGGTTTTTTTCCCCCTTGGCACCAAGAATCAAACTCAGGATTTCATACTTTCCAGGCAGGTGCTATGCTGCTGAGCTATATCCCCAGCCCCTCTCAATGGCCTCAAACCAAACTGGACAAAAACTGAATTAAATTTCCTCATAAGGTTAACATGGAACCTAACCATTAAACCTGAATCACATAAAGAATGACTTATGAACTGAAGTAGCATGGTATTTGGTTAGTGAAAAGTTTCCAGAAATCCTTCCAGCTAAGATACAATTTGCAATTATTCCCAGGAAATTCTTTACTTCATTTAACTCTAGTCCTTTTTCTTACAGTCTTTCTCATTCACAGGGAAGCAAATGTACAAAGAATTCAATTACACAAAATTCACAGGGGAGTTTACCATCAAAATCTTCCTTGATAAAAGTGCAATAAATCCCTCATGTTCAGATAGGGAAGTGACTAACTGGTAAAGGAGATAAACTGAGAAAGGAGCTAAGAGTACACAAGAATCAAACAAACTAGCTGCATCACATATATTGAAAACTTTATAAAGAAGGAATGAAATTACTTTAGTGGAAAGCTAACCTCTCTAAAATGCAATATCTAATATTAACTTTTCACAAATAATTACTGATTGCATACATTTAATCTTTAATCTTTATTTTACTTGAAATATTCTAACATGTAACAAAGTGAGAATTACATAATTTCTAATAAAGAATACTTTGAGGGCACATAACAGATATGAGGAATGAGGGTTCTAACACGACAGTGATAGCTCAGAACTTAGAAGATTTTAGAAATACAGAATTACAAAAGACAGAGGCATTAAATCTATCAGAATATTTTAAGAGTAAAATGTTAAAGTATGTTTTTTTCTTCAAAAGTTTTTATACAAATAAAATGATAGTACAAATCAGCCTGCCAAAATGAAAAGAATTTAAGAGTTAGAAGAGACTATAGTCACATCATCTCTTCTACTGCATTTTACAAATGAGAAAACTGAGGCTCTTTGAGTAACTTCAGCTGATAAACACTTAAAAATTTTACATATTCTCAGATAATACATAGCTTATTTGTACTTCATTATACTGACATCTGCCTAGACAGTAATATAGAGAGATCACATTATTATGATCTAAACACTTAACATAGCTATCACTTTGTAGATTTTGGTCAAAATAGATCAAGACAGATAAAATAACAGAAGCATTCCTTTTTTTCATCTCAGAATTCCATCCATTCTTATAAAATTATTCTATGTGATAGGTAAACTATAATCAAAGATTTTTAACATGTGTTAATTAAATTTATAAGAAGTCAGAAGTTTTGGCAGCCCTTAAGGATCTGGTTTTTTTGTTTTGAGAGAGGGTCTTGCTATGCAATTCAGGCTGGCCTTAAATTCGAGGTGATCCTTTGGCTGCCTCAGCTATTCCAGGACTGGGATTACAGGCAGGATCTGTACTATTTTTTAAATCTGCCTTCAATGAAGAATGTACAAGGTTAATAATTTGATATAGCTTTTTAATATTTTCTAGTTAAAGATTTATAATACTAAAAGCTATCAGTGTAAGAGAAACTGAAATTTATCAGCGATTTCTGTGGCCATTAATACCTTAAGAAAACTGCCAATAGTTTTTTTTCTTTGAGTTAGGGTCTCACTGTGCAGTTCAGGCTGGCCTTCAGCTCACTATTGTAGACCATACCGGCCTCAAACTCTCAGCAATCCTCCTGCCTCAGCCTCCGTAGTGCTAGGTATGCACCACCACACCTGGCACTTGTTTCTTTACTACATTTAAAATAACCATGATAGAAAACTAATTTAATAAAATGCAAAGAGTATCTCTTACATGAAAGACACTCACATGATTTGGCCAGCTATAGTCAAGTCAAATCCAAATAATGTGGTAATACATTATTCCAGAATTTTTTGGAACCTGGTGGCACACTGTCTAAAAGTTGCTTTGGCTGCTCTGACATTCTGAACCTTTGCTCCATCCCCTTTCCCTCTGGTTTAGTAATCAGCTTTCTTTGATCTGTTCTATGTTTGTTATATTTCATAGATCTTATCTTGCTCACCTTTGACTTTTCTGTATCACTCTGCCCTTCACTCATTTTACTTTCCTGTTGATATTTCCCTTGTTTATTGTCTATCTCTTCCTCCTCGTTTCCTCCATCTGTCCTGTTTTCTTTCCCTTCTCTTTCCCCTTCCTCTTCTCCTTCCTCCCCTTCCTCTTCTCCTTCCTCCCCTTCCTCTTCTCCTTCCTCCCCTTCCTCTTTTTCTTCCTGTTCCCCCTCTTCCTCCCCTTCCCCCAATTT